AAACTGTTATACAAAGATAGGTGGTAAGTTTGAGGGAAAAACATGGTGTCTTATCGTGGTATTGGGCCAACACAGACAGAGCTAAGCTTTTTCCGATAAATACCTTGATATGTCTAGATTAGGTCTTACACAATACTTACTGCTGATCGGAATGTAATTCCACAATCTTCAAAGTCCCTTTAAACCATCTGGATTTTTTTTTATTAACCTGTTCTGAATCTGACATAACTCTTTCTGGGTACACAAAAATAATATAGTCTATGCTCAATTTGTATGACGTGTGTAACAGTATTGTGATTTATATTTTTAGTCAAATATTTGTTTTATGTATATAGTTTTTATAAAATAACGCTTTGTGGGGAAAAATAATGCTTGGTTCCAAGACAACAAGGATGTAATGGTGGAGTGGCAGATTGACACTAATGATTCACGTCATGTTCATACTTGAACCATTCAGTGTGTTTCCTAGCAACACATTGTTATGTCTCTCTACTCAATTCGTTTTTCCCAACTCTCTATGAAAGGCACTTAATGTTACCTACATAAGCTCATCATACCTCCATAGAAACAAAAGCTAGCTGTCAGAAATTGTGAGTACAATAATGTGTCGCTCTCTATGTCTGTGCCTGGTTCTACTTGTTTATTGTTTGTTTATTTTGTTATGGTTTTGTGCACAATTTTAAAATACACATGCCTAACTAAATAATATACAGTGCAGGAAGAGGCCCACTGGACTTATTTAAAACCTCAACCTAATTGATGTTAAAAGATCACTATGCTCTAAGTCTAAAGAACACAACATGCATATTTGGTAGAGAGCATTACTAACAAGTAGTTGCTGTGCCAGTTTTGAGCCAATGGAGGGTGTATTGATTATTGTAAACACTGGTCTAACAGCAAAGCAAAATGCTTTGTAAACACTGGACCACAAAGAGCACTGTGAGCAAGACAAATACTCATCAGGCTGCTTAACGCTAGCTTTAACTGGAGTTAATGACCATGACTTTGGTCATTAGGGTCATTTTGCAAGTTGCTTATTACAGTAACGTGAGTGGAAGCATATGACAACAAGGGTATTATTTTCCATGTGAAGATTAACTCTACTTCCCATAATGTGCTGTTGTTGTACATGTCGTGAAACAATGCATACTCTAGCAGGATGAAGCATTTCAAAGTGCTGTAATTTGAAGTTGAAGTACTTTAATTCAGCCTATCTTGAGATATCAGTATAAATATAGTCCCTTGTGGTATAGCGAGTGAGCCAGAAAGCCAGTGTGTTACAAGTCTAAGTGCTCTGACGCCTATATGGGCCCGTGATTTCAGACTATATCAGATCCCAGACAAGCTATCAGATGAACTCTTTCTACAGGATGCAGAGACAAAGCGCGCTGGGTGCAGCTCAGACACACTCAGAATCCATTACTAGGCTCTGCCGCCGCTGTACGTACTCCTAACTGAGTTTCCATTGAACCCTAGCAGGGCTCAGCGCAGCTAGACTGTTACCGTAACAGGTATCTCAGCAACACTAACTGATGCACCTGAGGAAAAAAACAAAACATATAGTGCATACAAACTACGATAAATGGCAGACAACTTTAACATTTGTTCAGAAAAGTTTCTACACTCGGCTGAAAGTTGGGGTATCAAAAAAGAAAAGGCAACAGAAAGAGACTTTTTGATATTGTGGTGCCTGCTTCTGCTTCCTCTGCTCTAAGCTTCCATGCTGTGCTGCTACTCGCTGCTCATTGTAACCACCTTGTTTTGAGTCTAGACAGTGTACTTTGATTTATATCACCTCCCTCTCTATCCCCTGATAAAAACACACCAGGGTACACGTAGATAAAAAGGGACAAATGAATCAATGTTGGTGGAAACAGTAATTAAATGAAGTGCAGAGCTGCTGGTGCTTAATAAAGGATGCAATCCTGTCAACTTACACGCCCTGATTCACATATTTGAATTCCCTTAACTTGGACAACATTTTTAAAGCCATCATTTATGTAGATGTCCAATAAGGGTTGATGGTATATGTAGTCCATTGAAGCATTCAACTCGATTTAGTCAATGTAGCACGCACTGAGGGATATGCTGTATAGCTCCATGGACCTCATTTTACCATCAACCCTGATTGGACCTAACCTAAAAGGTTGCAAATGAACCCTTTAATAATAACCTGTGTCTTTTTGGTTGTACACACTCTCAAACGAGCATTTCGTCCTGTAATGCTAACAGCTAAAGCTGAATAGTCTCTCTGCAACATCTCCAGTAATTCTGACAAGCTCTCTGCAAAGGTTGTTCTTCATGCCTTGACCTTTTCAATAATGTATTTTACTACAGGGCTTTATATAGTACTATTTGTGTGTGTAGGAGTCACTGGAAGTTTGTAAGCCATCTGAAATATATCGAAAACCTTGAAAGGAGCCTTGAAGAAAAGGATGGATACCAAGGCAAAGAGAGGAGAAGGAAGATAAACAAGACAGATAAACAGAACGGTGAAAGAAGACGATATGTACCATCGAGTCAACACAAACCATAACCCACCCACCTCAGGTAAACACTGAATGGGAGAAAGACAGGATAGGAGTAAAAATGGAGGCAGAGCAATGGAGGATTATCAAGGACAAAGAAGGACGTTTGCCACAAATATATACGATGTTGGGGGAAGGGAACCAATAGAGTAGACGACCAGCTGTTCTTTACAGAGGCTGACATCAACAGTGTGTCAACCTGTGTGATAAAGAAGTTATGAGCACATTTCACACAACAGACAGTCCTTCATTGTCATTACTTCAAAGGGTACTACAATAGGCTGTAAATTACAATGCAATTTTATACAGTGCCATGAAGTTGACAAGGGGCATTATTATTCATCGATGCCTACTTTCACAATCTCCCACCATTTCTACTGACACTGATGTGCTAATATGATATGCTTAGAGAAAAACACAATAGCAGATTAAAATATGTGTTGTTTGAAGATGATTTGCTCACAACATGCAGCATATTGCTTTTGGCGAGGTACACTGGATGCATAATCATGTCCATTTTCACAGGAAATATACTTGCATGCTTCCTGTTAGTCTAGTGTGTATGCTACAAGTTAATACAAAATGTTTGACAGTCTTTGTAATGTAGCATTGCCAAGTGTTCTCCTCCTCAGTCTGTGAGTCAGAAATATCCTCCTGCAGGTTTCTGGACTCCTGACATAAGTTTCCTTCCCTCTGTCTCTTAACAACACATCCCAGTAGAAAACCCCTGTTTCCCCTCCTCTGCTCTTACTCTACTCGCTCTCAATTCTGCCCGGTACCCAGCCAGCCAATCACAGAGCAGAGATAGCTGCAAACACACTTCCTCTGCAGCTGCTTTGCTTTGGAAAAGTGCTAGGAAGTCCTACAGCTAGATTCTCAAATGCAAACCTCGAGGCGTTTACACGTGTTTTGTTGTTTTATTTATATTTTAAATTATGAAATGCGCCTCTGTGTGTGTGTGAGGAAGAGATTAAAGGGAGAGGGAGTCTAGATTATTATCCACTTCACATTGGACAGTGGATTTGACAACAAAGCCGGCAGACTGTACAAAGGGCTGTGGCGGTCGCTAATCTGTCATTAAGGCTGCTGCATTTTCCCTGAATTGCTCTTTTTTATAGTCCACACAAGAGATGTACACACACACACACACACACACACACACAGAGGCATACATGGGATTAGTGTGTAAGCCGTCAATAGAGGGCACTATTAAAAGAATGTTTTCTCTCATTACACGAGATGACCCCCCGTCTTCTTGTCCTGATTGTGTCGGGGGCTAATGTTTATGTAGCCTGGCTGTCGCTGCTCACTGCCCCTGCTAGCTTATTTAGCTTGTTATGCTAAGTGAGGCTCACTGGAACTTGGGTTGCTGTTAAACCAAACCCCAAGAGCTAGGTGTGTCAATGATCATATTTAAGATACACCTTTATTTTGAAATTCCCATGACACTGACAAATGACACGCCTTTCTAAGCATTTAACTAAATGTCTAAGTTGCTTTGGATAAAAGCGTCAGCCGAATGAAATGCAATGTAATGTCTTATTGTTTACAAAGAACCAATATAATATTATTTCATGATAATGTTTGCGGTTTACACCCTTAAAAACCAAGTGCTGCTGATCTTGTTTCCGTGATTTAAGACAACATTAACTTAACTTAACCTCATGACATATACTGTACTTCCACATTACTGGATTTAATTATCTTCTAGAGATGTTGGGCCAAACTGAATTGTAGGGATCATACACGGTCATAGGCAAATATTCCCTGCAAGGAGACACACATTTGCTCTTCCCTGGTGTTAAAAACACAGAAAGTAGGGCGACATCAAACACAGCAAATAATGGAAAGCTCTTTACTTTTCTCCTAATCTTCTCTGGCTAGAAAATTGACCGAGAAAAGAGCTTCAGGGTTGTCATTGTCAGAATATTGAACACTTTCTAAAGTGCAGTCTGAGCTCCTGTCAGCGTGCAATAGAGAACAGTTGACAGGTTTGTGTAGGCGTGTGTTTGTTAAATGAAGCCCCACAACACAGATAGCAAGTTATTTTCGTTGTGAAGCATTATAACATCATGAAAACTGCCTAAACTTGACCAATAAGGATAATCTATGATACGAGTTGCTTCCTGTTTTAGCATGCATGAGTTTGCAGTGCAACTTGACTCACATGCTTTCCATTCATCCATTGACGTTTTGAGTTGCAAATGAGTATTCACATTAGCAAGTGACTTTCGAAGTGGGTGCGTGAACATGTGTTGATAAAGTGTGCAAGCTTGTCATGCAGAGAACTCGTTGACTTTGAGGCGAGTGGAGCTCCTCTTCATCATCCTCTCACTCTCTTCCTTCACACTCACCATGAATGCTCGCTAATACGCACCGTGCATATGCTCCCTCTCTCGCTGTCACTTCCTCCTCTCACGCTCCGCAGGGTGACTCAGTTCTCTCTCTCTTTTTCTCCTTTGTCTCTCTTAGATCGCATCTGATGCCCAGGCTGAAGGAGTCTCGCTCCCATGAGTCATTGCTCAGCCCCAGTAGCGCTGTGGAAGCCCTGGACATAAGCATGGAGGACGAGGTCGCCATCAAGCCTGTTCACAGCAGCATCCTCGGGCAGGACTACTGCTTTGAGGTGAGGGGGGCTCACACACACATGCAGTACTGTACATGTACACACAAATACTACAGAACATCCACACCTCTGGCCCTACTTCATTAAAGCGCCAGCATACAGTTTTCATTCTGGTGTTGCTATTTCAGGCATCCTATTTCAAATGGTCCTCATTATTATCAGCATTGACAATTATGAGTGACAATTCTCAGTACAAAAGATAGGCAACTCGAAACATATTTTGGTCAGGCTTATTCACTTTAATATTAATTGTATACATGCATTTTTTACGTATTCCTTTATTTATTGCACAATATATCACTTGCACTATTCTCTTGAAGTATTTTACGTCTTTTTTCATTTTATGTCGATGTATTTCTTAAGTATGTCGACCAATTGGAGGACCAATTGGAGGACCCTGGGAATAAAGATTTTTGTTTTATTCTGAATATGACAATAAAGCCTTTAAATCTTAAATGTAATAGTAAGGAGCCAGTGCCAGAGAGACATTTAAGCGTACCCCCTTACATTTTTGAAATGCCAAAATATGCACTGTTGGAACAATAATTTCAAATCCAGCGAATACATTCACTTTCTATTGAGACTCCACTTTGTGATGAACAGTTTACAGACAGCTTTTCTGCATTAAATAACAGAAGCAAATGCCTATGCCTACATTTTTCTGGTTGTAGAAAGTAAATGGAAGCACAGCGATAATTTGTTTCAGTCCCTGGCTTTGTGAAAACTGATGAATCGTCATGATCATCAGCGGACTGAAGTCATTTCCAACGAATTACCTCTAATTACTGTAGGATTCACGTGTGCACAAACACATATATGCATACATGCAGCTGGGAGCCTCGGGTGGGGTAAATGACTGAATACTTTGAATCCTACACTCTCTACCGTAGAGAGCAGAAATCTTCACTAATCTTCATTATCCTGCTCATTACATCACGCCGCTGGTTTTTTTCTCACTCCGTTCTGTTCTCTCTGCGTCCCACTGTGGGTTTTTTAATTATCCAGTCATCATCCCGCCTGCCAAGCCACCATCTCCGTCCATTCACACATTCAGTCATCCTCAACACTGCCAAGTCATCCTCATTGTGTCTGTGTTGATAAGCTCCTCTGAGACAAAGTGGTATTTAAGGACTAAGTTTAGTAAAACATGTTGTTCTCCATAGGTCACCACCTCCACAGGAACCAAATGTTTTTCCTGCCGATCATCCGCAGAGAGAGACAAATGGATGGAGAATCTGAGGAGAGCGGTGCAACCCAACAAGGTAAATACGAAGCGGGTGGGACGATACTGCGTGCCGCAATCACCGCTAATAAGTTCATGCCCGAGTGTCCCAATTCCACACCACACTTTGCAACATTGGTTATCATAAAGACAGTGAGATACACGGTGTTGAAATTGTGTTGTAACTCCAACAACAACGCAATCTGATCTGTGGCCTCCAGCTGTGCCCTTCCTGCATGCACACAGAGGACACAGAGGTTACATCGTGCTCTGCTCCTGAGCATTGATACCATCTATCATATGACAGACACAGCTGTGACACAAGCAGAGTTGCATCACGCATCAAGCCGAGAAAATAGTCCTCCTCTCAAAGCTTCATTATCTAGTAAATCTCCCTCATTTGAAAAAAACAATCCTTAATAACGTTGGAGGCCTTCTCCTCGGCTGTTTTTGGCAAGGAGGTGTCTCTATTTTTTTGCTTTGTGTTTTTTAATTATTCTATGATTTTGAGGGATGAGATGCAATATTTTTGGCAAACATAAAAACTGGAATCAGATAGCGGGATTCTTTGAGATGAGGAAGTCTCAAGAGTTGTATTTAATTGATTAAACATATTGTGCACTGCTAGGAGAGAATATTAAAGAGGCCCTGTTATGTTTTTGGGGGTAACATAGTGACATCACTGCGTAACACTTGCGCTTCTATTCGCTAGCAGTCCAACACATTGTACCTGATAGGTTAAGGGGCGAGAAATCTCTAAGTGGTTGGCCTATCACAACAGAGCCAGCCAGCTAACCAATCAGAGCAGACTGGGCTCTGGTTTCAGACAGAGGGGGAAAGAGGTGCTGCAGCACTGGCAGAACATTAAAGCATGGAGACATGTCACTGAAGAGACACAGAATACAAATATGAACTTGTTATAAGGCATAATAGGGGCCCTCCAAGGTAACACACCAATGTACACACACTTATAATATCAAGACTAGTTATCCACTAATGGGTAATAAAGGTATCAAGATAAATAACATTGTAACAACTCTAACAGCTAAGTTAGATTGCTCCTTGTTATACATCTCAATATGTAACGATCTACAATGATAAAGTACATATTGTTCGACAGAGATGAATCTGACCGGGCATTATGCAGGACCCAGACGACTCCACCTGTTTCTGGTTTGCAGCTCAGTATTTGTTTCTGGGACCTCGTCTGAGAGGTTTTTTTCCTACGCTGGTGCTCGACAGAAGGAAGAAGATGCTCATATAGTTAAAATATGGAATAACAATGGAAATAAAAAATAGATGCAGTGACTTTCCACACCTCTTTACCAGAGATGTAATCACTGTAAATGGGATTATGTGTTCTAAATGATAAACCTGAGCAATTTAGCTCGTGTATAAGAGGATAATTATGGGTGATTATGATAAAAGGCTATTAACACAAGTATCATCTTTCCAGGCTTGTGTTTAATTGGTAATACATTTCCGTGTGACATAATAACCCAACGTTTAATTGGTGATGTGAGGCGTGATGAACCCAAACACTTGATCTCCTATTGTTTGACGGATCAGCCTCTCTACTTATCTCCCATCTAATGCATATTTTGGACAGTTTAGAAACACCTGGTATTTGGATGAAGAGAAAAAAACATGTGACATAAATGATTTTAATTACATTTTTCTCAAGCATAGCTACCGTTATTTCAAACATCCACTGGCATCCTTGTGTTTATGTAAGGCTCTGGTGTTTCTCTCTAATATTGTAATTATTTGCTCCTTTTTCGCTCTCTTCGTCTTCAGCGGTCATTTTCAAGGCAATCTGAATAATAGTCCAAAAATATGCCCTGCTCTTGGCAACAAATCTATTGATGACACAAGAATGGGTTAGCACTCTGTGAAACAGTGTAGGAGTACGATTTTCTTGCTCTCTAAAATATTGAAAATGCGGGAGATAAAAGATTTATAATTATCAAGTACTTTCTGAGATGTCTCTGTCATTTAAAATGGAGAAACTTCGACGTCAAGGTTAAAGGAAATGACGCATTTGTATGTCATCATTTAACTTCTGCGGTCATTTGATTTATTTCGTTTTTTGGTATGTTGGATACGTTTTAAGGTTGGTTACTTTCAGCCATGTGCTCCAACTAGAAGCCATTTTGAACCTTTTCTCTTATAAACTTCCCTGTGGAGATAGTTTTGTAAACTGTTATAGAGGCCCTATTTAGCTTTTCCTGGGTTTTCCCTTCCCTGTAGTAATATAGGTTTGTGTGCATGTAAATGGTCTCAAAGGATAAAGTCCCTGTGTTCCATCAAGAGGGAGTTGGTAGTGTATAGACCTTTGTCACCGCGACATAGTAACATACCTATTTATCACTCGCTCCAACACATTGTACATGAAATGGGCGGGACATCTCTAAGCGGTTGTCCAATCACAACAGAGCCTTCCACTTTCAGACAGAGAGTGAAAAGAGGTGCTGCAGCACAGGCAGTATGAGAAAAATAAAGCACTTTTTGAACATTAAAGCATGGAGACATGTACACACACAAAATACATATGCACCTGAAAATAAGCTTAAACTGTTAAAAAAAACGTACTAACCGACTTCCTTTCCTCCTCTACAGGACAATAGTCGTCGGGTGGAGAACTTGTTAAAGCTGTGGATCATCGAGGCCAAGGACCTGCCTGCCAAAAAGAAATACTTCTGCGAGCTTTGTCTCGACGACTCTCTCTACGCCCGCACCACCTGCAAACTCAAGACTGACAATGTTTTCTGGGGCGAGCACTTTGAGTTCAACAACCTGCCCGCTGTCAAGAGCATCACAGCCCACCTGTACAAAGACACAGACAAGAAGAAAAAGAAAGATAAAAACAATTACATTGGACTCGTCAATATCCCCATCGCCGCGGTTACCGGGCGACAGTTTATGGAGAAATGGTATCAGGTCAGCCTGCCAAACCCACCTAAGGGAAAGACCTCCGGGCCTATGATCAGGATCAAGGCCCGCTATCAGAGTATGAACATCCTTCCCATGGAGATGTACAAGGAGTTTGCAGAGTACACCACCAACAACTACATGCTGCTGTGCTCCGTGCTCGAGCCTGGGATTAGCGTGAAGAACAAGGAGGAGATGGCGTGTGCGCTGGTGCACATCCTGCAGAGCACCGGCAAGGCTAAGGTAAGAACCCAATATATGATTTATTTCCATTTTACCCTCGTTTGAACTCTCCAAGGAGACATACCAGATAACAAAACATAAAATGAGACCATTATTCTGCTTTGAGGCACTGACAAGATATTAATAAGGTTAGCAATTCCTCCGCCGCCTGCTCATGCTATGAACTATTGACCCCCCAAAGCTGTAATACAGGGCAGACAAAGAGCAGACAGACGGGTGATTTCCTCTTGCTGCACCAGCCGGTATTACATTTTTAACTCAAGCTAATCCCTTACATGTATCCCCCGCAGTGCTTCACGGCATACCGATGCAGGACAGAAGCACAATGTTTCCACCGCTGTCTGCAGCAATGAAGCACAGGGAGATTAGTCTGCCACAGCAGGAGCCACGTCTCCCTGACAGCAGGCAGTTGGGCTCAGATAATCTCACATCCAGCACAAATGGCTGTATTTGACTTCATTTTGACAGCACAGCGTTTGCAGGGAAACAGACGCAGGCATTTTCTACCCTGCATCACATCAGCATGGGGCATGAGAGGCAAAGCTGTCTTATTGGCTGCTGATGAAGAAAGGGATATAGAGAAAATGAAAGCTGAAATATAAAACTATGAGTCAAAATTAACCAGCAAATATGTTAAAAACAGGCTATTTCTTCAAGATGTAATGACAAAAATGTACAGGGTCCAGCCATTTAAATAAAAAATATATACATTGTAAATTGAATATCTTTGCGATTCTGTCTGTTGGCTTGAGAAAATAAGACTTTTAAGAGATGTCAAACTGTGTTATGGGGATACATACAGGGAATCTTTCACTATATTCTGTTACTTAAACTAGTTTACATTATTCATTTAGAAACGTTCTGCTAATAATGAAGGCTTTATAATAATACAAATAGATTTCACTCAGTTCCAAAGCATTTCTAAAGATCAAAAGATATTTCTTTTGTCCCGTTGTCCTTGTTTTGTTTGAAAAAGCTGTCTGCTTTTAGAGTAATATTTCTTCAGTCGGCTTTCTTCACTGCGGCCTGGACTCTTCGTCTTCTCTCTTCAGTCGGCCGCGACAGCTTGTGCCTCAATTGAGTTTTCTCTTTGACAGTATCTCATCAGCAGAGCTTTGAAACTTTCTCTGACTTTATCACAGCTCAGCAGAGTGATGAACGATCAGTGCCTAAGAAGTGATGTCTATCCACACTGTACCGCCGGTTTAGTCTCAGGACTGATGGATGCTGATGGATGGGGGGGAGGGGGGGCTGCTCTGGTCTCCTGAGAGGCGGCCATGTCCTTAATTACCTTCAATTAATCCACACTTTCCCAGCACAGCTCTAAAACTTTTACTTGTCTCATCCCTCCAAGTCTTCAATGCTAGCTAGTGGATGTGCTGCAAAATGAATCACTACTTTTTATTGAAATGACATATATGGATTAGTGCAATATTCTAAGACATATATATATACTAAGCACAATATTTGTTAAAGGCTAGTTATGTGTTGTAACACTATTTTTGTGAAGCTGCAGAGATATTATGTCATACAAATCATAGTCAACAGATAACAAAAACGTATTTGATTGGTACAGATCCTCTTAAAAAAAGTCACCTTATGTTCATTTAAATATGTTTTTTAATGATATTGAGAAAAATGATGCAAAATGATCAACTCCTCTCAAATCGTAATCACTAAATCAGTCAAAATAATCTTCACGTTTTGCATCCTTAGAGCCGCCTTTAATACACAATAGATATCCAAGGTTGCTCTTAATGAGATTGACCCGCATACATCCCATTTCTGTTCCAAGAAAAACAAAGAACAAAAACAAATCCTCTTCATTTTCTCATTAGCTGGCTGTAAATACAAAGACGAGCTGTTGTTGCCTCTTGAAAAATAGGCAAACAGAAGCTGTCGGATTGACGTAAACAGGAAGCATTAAGGAAAGCTGCTTTAGAAATGTCAAGTGTCAGGGCTGTTAGCTGCAGCTCCCTCTCTCAAAAGACTTTCATCCTTCAACACAAGTGGTCTGACATATGTATTTAGACAGTACGTTTTGTTAATATATCCTTGGTGGGTAAAGGAGTGTTGTTTGGCCAAGCACAGCACACGGCAATACCAATAAACCTCATTTCAAAATCCTCTGCTGCGTAAGTACGGCCAACTTTGGTGCAGTCTTTGCTAAATGTATCAAATGTTGGCAAATTATTTACATTCAAAATATGGGTGGAGAGAGTGTACATTTACAAAAGCTTACAAAATGAAGTAACAGAAACAACAGTTTTATTATGTTCCCGATATTCAAAGTGACTTCATGTATATTTGATGTCATTACTGGTATACCGTAACACTTCCAAAACAGTCAAAACCATTAGTCTGTATCCATGTATTTGTACATACTGCCAACTTTGATGTGGTCTTTGCCACATTAGGTACATTCTTTCAAATGAATGACACATTTAAATAAATTGTAGTGAGTTGGAGAGAAATTCTGTGAATATACAAGAAACCAAATTTTATAAGAGGCGCCTGAATATGTTCACGATAATACAATGTGTATTATTAACTTGTTTTTTGAATACCAGTTATTTTGAATAAGGGACACACATACTTCCAACTACTCAAATCCATGAGTCAGTGTCTGTTTATTCCAGTACCCCAGTGTATTTCAGTTTGTAGTTCAGACAGAGATTTGCATTGCTGTTGCATGAGACAGCAACTAAGCAAGAGTGCGAGCACACACTCCTCCACCCAGCAGGGGTGAGCGGGAGGTGAGCGCTTCTTTTCGGCGATGCAGCGGTGACTTTGTAGTTCTGCTGATGGTGTTTAATCAGCTGTGTACAGGTGGAAAACATCTCCTATCATTGCAGATGGCTGCTGTTAGGAGATGCAGATTCCAGGCGGTATTAGTATGCACAACACCGACTACACTCCTGTTTCTTCCCGTGTCATTTTATCACCCATCACCGAATAATTACACCCCAAATATCCCGCTCCGTTGCACACTGGCTCCTTCTCTCTGGTTCTCTCCCTACTTTCCGTCTTTGTCTTCCTTCATCTCTCTTTCATGCTCCATTGCATCATGAGGCCAAAGCTCTCAGGAGGGATGTCATTACGGATGCTGTATTGATGTCTGGATGCCTTGGTGAGCAAAACGGGCGCGCCCTTTGGATGCTAACTTTATACGCACACACCTACGTATAAATCATAAGCCTAAATCAGGTGGTAAGTCAGTTATTACATGTTACGCTTGAGCAAGTAGGCTGTCGGTTGTTTTAAGATACATGTGGCTTTAAGTATTACATGGAAAGGTCAGAAGTGCATCCTTTCTCTATCAGCTGATCTTATTTGATTTTGAAGCCTGTAAATCCAACCGTAAGTGGAAATGAAAAATCCAATCATGACATTTCTGCAGATTTCCTGTGATGTAAGGTCACTGCACCAGTCTCTCCTTCCCTATGGGATATGATGTTATATCCACACACACAAACAGCGCTGTTGGAAGCTCCCACGGTTTCAATAACAAGACCCTGTGCTGTGTTGGAATTGCCCAGAGAAGTTCACCTTCCTATCGTCTGAACATATCCACCGCTGGCATGAATCCTCTGCGTTATTGATCTAGTGTTCTCGACGCCGCGGCCCTCGGGGGAGGATTATGTTCTAATTGTGTTGCTTCTCCGCATCGCGTCGCGACGATAAGGAGGATTTACCCTCATGATCACTTGGCAGATTCGAGTGAGGATCTGGTTATTTAGCCGTTGGGTTTTTATATTACTGCATCCAAGCCCTTCTTAAGAGTGTGAAATATGCAAGACTCTCCTCTCTACCTAACATCCTCTGTGGTAAACTGTCGCCAGCCTGAAGCACAACTCCAGTTACATTCAGCACAAACATCATATTAATGAATGCAGCGCTGTCATCACCACAGCTGTAATGCTCTCACACAGCTTGTACATAACATGATGTGACAAATGATTTACCAACGCGGCATGAAAGGCTCTGGTACTATATTCCTCTTCCGTCTTTTAATGAATCAGTTGTCCCCTGAGAGGACCAGCGAGCATTTATGACATGCTAGCTAGCTGTCAATAATCTCTCCATTAATATTGGTGTTATTGACGTGACATTGTTTTTTTTCAAACCCACTGGAACTGTGCTTCTCCAATGTATTCTGTACTTGCTCTTGTCTGAGACACTAACCCCTTTAATAGCTGTAATCTTGTGTTTTCACTCATAAGAAGTGAGCATTCTTAGGATGAACTAAGATTGATGTTTGAAGTGTGTTTGAGTGAGAGAAGGAGGGCACATTCATAACGGGAGATGTTAGCTATTCATGTAGTTATATATCTACTATAATCAAATCAGGAAATAAATACCAAACGCATCAAAGCACTCCTCACAGGCACTCCTATTTGCACTTCAAAGGCAATGCATCATATCTTCAGACTGTTTGGTAATTCCAGCAGGATTTTTATTGACCATCCCCTGACAGCGTGGAGTGATGGAGGAGAGGTGAAGCAGGGAGAGGTGAGGAGAAAGGTGAGAGCACTGACAAGGAGGGGAGGAAAGAAGAGAGAGAGGGAGAATGAGATGTTATGGCTGTGGCACCAAACAGCAGCAGACTGCAAGGAGAAACATTCAGCAACACATCGATCTGGACCCTCCTGACGTCTCTGTTGGCACTGAGAATACAAAGACACTGTTCTCTCTGTCACTTCCTTTTTATGATATTCAGTTACCTCTATGTAGTTTAAAGAGGCCCTATTATGCTTTGTTGGGGTTTGCCCTTTTCTGTAGTGTGCTATACAGATTTGTGTGCATATAAATGGTCCCAAAAGCCTGGGAAATCCCTGTGTTCCCTCCAGACGGAGTTTCTCTCCCACACATTCCCCCCCGACTGAAACGCATCCATTGGACTCCTTTGTTTACTTACGGAACATAGTGACATCACTATGTAACACTTTCGCTTCTATTGGCTAGTGCTCAAACACATTGTAGGTGATAGGCTAAGGGGC